CGGGCGGCGCCCGCGCGGGTGCGGTGGAGACGCCGATGCGCGGTGGGACGCGCGGGCGGGGGGGTGGGGGGTCGACGAGGACGTCGGCGCCGTGTTGGATCCGGCCGCCGGGGACGCGATTCATCGTGGACGGATTCGAGTGGGATTTGGGGCGCGGCGGGGCGTGTGAGACGTGGTTTTTGACGCACTTCCACGCGGATCACCATCGCGGGCTGACGAAGACGTTCGATAAGGGGATCATTTACGGCACGAAGGAAACCTTGGAGCTGGTGCGGATGAAAATCCAGGTGCCGGCTTTGAGGCTCCGCGCGCTCGAAATCGGGGTTCCGGCGCGCGTAGACGGCGTTCAGGTGACATTTATAGACGCCAATCACTGTCCAGGGGCGGTAATGATCTTGTTTGAGTTCCCGGAGCGCCCGGACGCGTCGCCCGTGTTGCACACCGGCGACTTTCGATTCTCCGCGCGCCTCGCGAGGGACGAAACGCTCGTGAGAATCGCGGCGTCGCCGAAGAGACCGATATTGATCCTGGACACGACGTATTGCTCGCTCGAGCACGATGCGTTTCCAACGCAAGAGTATGTTCTGAACGCGGTGCGCGAAGCGTTGACGCACGAGGATAATCTCGACGGCGCGCGGAAATTATTCTTGTTCGGCACGTACACCGTCGGTAAGGAAAAGGTCTTCTTCGAAGCGGCGCGAACGCTCGGACGAAAGGTGTACGTCGGAGCGGCGAAACGGAGTGTGTTAGACGCTCTCTCTCTCACTCGCGACGAGCGCGAGGCGTTGACGCGCGACGACAAGCGGACGAATTTACACGTCGTCCCCATGGGATCGACGAGTTTCTCCAAGATGGCGTCCATTCTCAAGTACTACAAGTCGAGGTTCGACACCGTCGTCGCGTTTCGCCCGACGGGATGGACGTTCAGCGCGAATAAGAAAACATCGCGCGCGTCCTCTCGCCGTCAGCGCGGAAGACTCGTACAGTACGGATTACCGTACTCCGAGCACTCGAGTCTGAGCGAGCTTCGCGCGTTCATTCGATTCATCAACCCGAGGTCGATTTTTCCGCACGTCGGCAACGACGGTGGGGAAAAGCTGAATGATATGCTCAAGCTTCTGCGCGCGAGTGACGAGGAGTACGCCGCGATGCGCGAGGAGTACACGGCATCGATGCCGACGTAGGAGACATTTGTAAAATACGATTTACTTGACGTTGAAACCAACCATATCATCACATCAATCAATACATCTAGAGATTGTTCATGAACGACTCGAACTCCTTTTCCTTGGAGTCGGGCGGTGGCGGCGGGGGCACGTCCCCGAGCTCGCCCTCCTCCGGTTCATCGGTTGGCGGAGGGGGGACGTTCATCACCGGTGGCGGAGGGACTTGCACCACCGGTGGCGGAGGGACTTGCACCACAGGTGGCGGAGCGACTTGCATCACAGGTGGGGGCGGAACGCCCGCCGTGCCGTCTTCCGGCGGCGGAGGTGGCACGCCGGCCGTACCATCTTCCGGAGGCGGCGGAGGCACCGAGATGTAGGTCTGAGGAGCGCCCATGGGCATCATCATCGGCGGAGGCGGCGGAGGCGCCTGTCGCATCATGGTCCCGCCGGCACCGATCGGCGCGTGCGTGATCGGCGCGTGCGTGATCTGTTGCTGAAAAGGTACTCGATTTTGATATCCTCCGCTCAAAGGCGGTGGCCCACCGGGTCGAGGCTCGCTGCATCTCTTGCACATTTGCCTGGAAGCGTAATTGGGATAACCGCACGGCTCGCAGACCCAATCTCCCGGGCGTAGATTATTGTACTGACCGCGACCACCGGGAACGTTCGAACGCAGCGGCATACTCGCGCCACCGACGCTCGGGCCCGCATTCGAGGCATCGCCCGACTGTCTCAGATCGTCCTTACTGACTCCGATTTCATTCAAAAACGCCGAGTACTCCTGGTTCATCTCGTTCGTCGCCGCGACCGCGTCAGCCTTGCCGGCGAGTGGACAATCTCGCGTCGGGTGGCCTCCGTTACCGCAAATCTTACACGTCACGAGCTCCACCGGTGCGCGATAGCTCTCCATCTTCTCGCGCTCAGGGCAGTTCGCCTGCACGTGTCCCTGGACGCCGCAGAATTTACACGCGCCGAACGTTTCAACGAAAGTACCGTTGATGGACGCCAACTCACGAAGCTGCATGCGCTTGTGCACGTTCTCTTCCTCGTCGATCGGCCGCAAAATGTGTCCGACCATCTCCGCCGCCCTGTCGACGTCCTCCCACCGCTCACCCAAGACGACCACGTGCAAAGGCTCGTCCTCCTTGTAATCCGTCTTGTGATCCCTGTGCGCGCCCGGTTTGACGCTGCCCTTGCCTCGAAGCATGATTCGCGTATTCGTTTCGCGTTCCATGCGCTTCTGCGTGTTCCCACGAGGACCCAGAATCAAGCCGATGAAGTTGTACCCCGGGTACTCGTCCTCCGGCACGTAAAGCTTCCTCTCCTTCTTTCTCGGTCGCCAATCCGGCGGGGGCTGGAACTCCCCTCGCGCGCGCTCCATCAAAAACTCAATCAACTCGTCCCGCTCTCGCAAAAGCTTATCCTTCATCCGAGCCTCTCGCGTGTTCACCTTGACGCCGAACCGGTTATACTTTGGCGGCGGCGACGGACTCCGATCGCTCTCCGGTCGATCATCCGTGAAATCCCGCATCGCCAAACGCTGGCTCACGTCTTGATACTTCGCAAACTTCCGCGTCACCTCCGGATCATCCGTTCGCAGCGTCGTCATCGCGCTCGCCGACACCACCCCTCTCGACGCCAAGTGCGCGTGAATCGCCGCCGCGTCCGGCAGCGCCACCGGCCCGTCTCCCGCATCCTGTTCGACCATCGACGGCCCCGTGCCGAACCTTGATCCATCACCCGTCGCCGCGATCTCCCGCGTCTCGCCCGCGGCGCCGTCATCGGCGTCCCATCTCGATTTTCTCTTTCGAGGTCGTCCCTCGCGCGCGCCGCCGTCGTCGCTCATCCTCCACCGATCGTCTCGCGCCGCGCGCGCGCGCGCGCGACCGTCCACGCGAGCGTCCGCGACGTTCGCCCGAGTCGCACCGACGCGCGCGTCGCCGTGTCGTCGCGCGCGCGACGCTCCGCGGCGTCGTCGCGGTGGGTCATTATCCGTCACGCCTCGAACTTCGACGTCTCCACGAGTCACGAGTCGTGGATGGAGAGACTCGAGAATTCAAACGCGCGGACGCGCGCGAGCGACGAACGCGCGACCGCGACGCGCGCGGTTGACGACGGATCACTCGCCGCGCGAGCGCGTTGGGTGAGAGAATTTTTACCCGCGCCTCGCGCGCGCGCGCGCGTGGTCCAGGGCTCGCGCGCGCGTCGAACGACGGCGCGATTGGTGGACGCGCGCGATGAACTCGCCCGAGCGACGATTGCGAAAGGCGCGCGCGTTGGAGGCGGCGTCGTTGAAATCGGCGCGCGACGTCGACGACGCGCACCGAGCGATTTTGCGCTCGCTTCGGGTGAAGACGGTGATTCGGGAGAATCACGGGGACGCGCACACGCGGGCGATCGAGTTCTCCCGATGCGAGCGCACGAAGAACTTGTTCGCCACGATTGGGGGGTCGACCGTGACGGTGTACGACGATGAACACTTCGGTGATCACACGGCGGTGGTGGCGCAGTACGTGCACGAGGCGACGGAACACGAGCGCGGTGGGAAGATCACGTCGATGTGCTGGGTGACGCAGAGCGCGGAGAAGGAGAACGCGGCGACGGGCGGAACGACGCACGAATTCGGCGACGCGGTGCTGGCGATCGGGGATGAAAATGGGGTGATTAGCGTGATATCTATCGCGGAAAATCGTGTGGTGTCGCGCATCGACGCGCATCCGGGCGCGGCCGTTCGCGACATGGACGGAGCGAGCGCCAGGGACGGGTTCGTCGTCTCCGTAGGCAAAGATGGATTTTTAAAGGCTTGGGACGTCTTCGGCGGCGAAGACGGTGAGGGTGAGTGCGTGGGCACGTTTGACGCGCAAAATGCGTGCTCGGTCGCGTGCGATGCCGATGGATCGAGCGCGGTGACGGGTCACTCGCAAGGCAAGGTGAAGCGTTGGAATCTCTCCGCCGGCATCGAGCAGCTCGGCGAAAGCCTCACCGGTTTCGCGTCCACCTTCACAGAAGGTCACGCGGTAGAGTGCGTTCGTATCGTTGGCGACGTCTTGTTCGCCAAGACGCGCGCGGGTAGGTTCGAGACGTACGATTTGGCGAAGAATAAGGCGCTCAAGCAGTGGACGCTTCCCAACGCGTCCCGACGCGCGAGTACGATTAAGAAGCTCGCGAACGATGACGATACGCCGTGTCGGTTCGGAACGTCCACGAACGGAAAGTACGTCGCGTGCGGCGACTCCACCCACGAGGGCGTGGTGTACGTCTACGACGCGCGAACGGGTGAGGAAATCTCCGCGCTCCAACCGCTGCGCGTGACGGGCGTCGTCTACGCCGCCGCCGTCGTCGACCACTGTCGTCACGTCTTCGCCTCGTACGGTCCCGCCGTGGTTTGGCGGTACGAAGTCATCCCTTCCACCGCCGACGCCGACGCCCCCAACGCGGTCTCCGCCTTCGAAGCCGCCGTGAAGTAAACGATCCGCGCGGTTATGCAAGGCACCATTCGAACACGCGTCCCCGAACCCTCACCATTTTTATCGACCGACGCGACGACAGCACATGGGCCTCGCACGAACGCGAACGCGACGCGCCCGTCGAGCGATCTCCGCCTTTCCTTTGCCGCGCCCGCGACGACGGCGTTGGTCGACGCGCGCGAACGCCCGACGCGGATGCGATCCACGGCGCGCGCGACGGTGACGCCGACGCCGCGCGCGCGCGCGCGCGTGGTTCGAACGAACGGTCCGTCGACGACGGCGCGAACGACGCGAGGGCGACGGACGATGGGCGCGATTTGCGATTTGCGATGGGCGATCGACGGACGATGGTGACCGATCGCGTGCCGACGGCGTGGACGCGATCGCGCGCGCGGTGGTCGGGAAAGCGATGGCGGGGCGAGTGCGCGTGGGATAGGGATGGGACGGTGACTGACGGCGCGACGGCGCGCGACGTAGGGGTGAAGAAGAATGCGGCGAACGCGGCGACGGTGGCGAAGAGCGACGGCGCGGAGGCGGTGAAGGAGAACGTGCGGTGGCACGCGGCGAAGTCCACGAGCGCGCTGCCGATTGAATTTGGGACGCCGGAGATGTACCAAGCCGTGGCGCAGTCCGTGCGCGAGGGTTTGTTCGATCGATGGAACGACACGTACGCGCACTTCCACAAGGAGAATCCAAAGCAGGCGTACTACCTGTCCATGGAGTACCTGCAGGGACGGGCGCTGACGAACGCGATCGGTAACATGGGTCTCACCGGTGAGTACTCCGACGCCCTTCGCTCGCTCGGGTACACGCTCGAGGACGTGATGAGCGTCGAACGCAACGCGGGTCTCGGTAACGGCGGCTTGGGACGACTCGCGTCGTGCTTCTTGGACTCCATCGCCACGCTCGATCTCCCGGCGTGGGGATACGGCTTGCGCTACAAGTACGGGTTGTTCAAGCAAGCGGTCGACAAGAAGACGGGCGAACAGCTCGAATTCGCCGACGACTGGCTCGAGGTTGGCAACCCGTGGGAAGTCGCGCGTCCGCAAACCGCGTACCCGATCAACTTTTACGGCAAAGTCGTAGACGGCAAGTGGGTTCCGGGTCAGCAAGTGCGCGCGGTCGCGTACGACTCCCCGATCCCGGGTTACGACACGCGTAACTGCATCTCGCTTCGCATGTGGGACGCCCAGCCCTCCGCCGTGGACTTCGATCTCGCCTCGTTCAACGCGAGCGATTATGAGACCTCCATGGGCCCGACCAACTTGGCCGCCATGTTGTGCGCCGTCCTTTACCCGGGCGACGGCACTCGCGAGGGTAAAGCGCTTCGATTGAGCCAGCAATACATGCTCTGTTCCGCGTCCGTTCAAGACATCTTGGCGCGCTGGAAGGAGCGCGGCAACACAGACTGGACCAAGCTCCCCGAAAAGGTTGCGATTCAAATGAACGACACGCACCCGACGCTCGCCGCGCCGGAACTCATGCGTATCCTGATGGACGAAGAGGGTTTGAGTTGGGACGACGCTTGGGCCATCACGACCAAGACGGTGGCTTACACCAACCACACGGTGATGCCAGAGGCTCTCGAAAAGTGGCCGCTGGATCTCGTCCAAGAGCTCCTCCCGCGCCACTTTGAAATCATCAAGCGCATCGACGACGAATTCGTTGCGTCCGTGAAGGCCAAGTACGCCAGCAAGCCGGCAGCCGAGATCGAGCGCGCGATCGGAGCGATGCGAATCCTCGAGAACTATGTTTCTCCAGAGGAGAAGGCGGCTAAGAAGGCAACCAAGGCGTCGAAGAAGGACAAGAAGGACAAGAAGGACAAGAAGGATGATAAAGAAGAAGCCGAAGCCCCGGCTGTGGTGCGCATGGCAAACTTATGCTGCATCTCTGGTATGGCAATCAACGGCGTCGCCGCTATCCACTCGGAGATTGTCAAGGACGTTGTCTTCAATGACTTCTACCAGCTCTTCCCAGAGAAGTTCCAGAACAAGACGAACGGCGTGACGCCGCGCCGTTGGTTGGCGTGGGCGAACCCACAGCTCTCCGAGGTCATCACAAAGTGGGTTGGCAACGATGAGTGGATCACTAACACCGACGAGCTCCGAAAGTTGGCTGACAACGCCTCCGACTCTAAGCTCCAAGCCGAGTGGAAGGCGGCCAAGCTCGCCCGGAAGCAAATCTGCAAGGATTACATCAAGAAGGTGACGGACATCGATGTCCCGATCGACTCCATGTTCGATGTTCAAGTCAAGCGCATCCACGAGTACAAGCGTCAGCTTTTGAACATCCTAGGCATTATTTACCGATACAAGCAGATGAAGGCAATGACTCCGGAGGAACGGGCCAAGTGCGTGCCGCGCGTCTGCATCTTCGGTGGTAAAGCGTACGCGACGTACATGCAAGCGAAGCGCATCGTCCGCCTCATCAACAACGTCGGATCGATCGTGAACAACGACCCGGAGATTGGTGATCTACTCAAGGTCGTGTTCGTTCCGGACTACAACGTTTCCTTGGCTGAAACTCTCATCCCGGCGTCCGAGCTGTCTCAGCACATCTCCACCGCGGGTACCGAGGCGTCCGGCACCTCCAACATGAAGTTCCAGATGAACGGTTGCTTGATCATCGGCACCCTCGACGGTGCCAACGTCGAGATCCGCGAGTGCGTGGGTGAGGACAACTTCTTCTTGTTCGGCATCACCGATCCGGAAGTTGAGCCAGCGCGCAAGGAGCGCGCTGAGGGCAAGTTCGTCCCGGACAAGCGCTTCACAGAGGTCGTGGAGTACGTGCGCAGTGGTGTCTTCGGCGATAAGTTCGAAGAGCTCTTGGGCTCCCTCGAAGGTAACGAAGGCTTCGGCCGCGGTGACTATTTCCTCGTCGGTAAGGACTTTGCATCCTACCTTGAGGCGCAAGAGCGCGTGGACGAAGCGTACCGTAACCAGCAAGGCTGGACCGAGTCCTCCATCATCTCCACTGCCTACAGCGGCAAGTTTAACTCTGATCGTACCATCGATCAGTACGCGAAGGAGATCTGGGGCATCACTCCGTGCACGGTGCCGGAGAGAAAGTAAACGCAGCGGCGCTACCAGAGATTCCCATTCTCGCGCGCGGCAACAGCGGCAGCATTAGCAGCATCGAGCCATCGAGCCTCTCGTCGACGTACTCGCGACACAGTCGTCGTATTCCGAGAGGAGTTTCGCTATACTTTAGCGGCTAACAGAACGGTTGGCCTTTGAAAACAACAATTTTCATCTACACGCTACCCGATGCCCGCTTCGCTGTGCCTAGAACGCGGAGACGAGCGCCGTCGACGTCACCACCGTCAACGTAACGCCTCCTCGACGTCCGTTATCGCACCATGGATGTTCTGCGCGTCATCTCTGCCTCGCTTCACCCATCGCGGCTCGACCAACGCGCGTAATCCCTCGTCCATCGCATCGAACGCGTCGCGCGCGCCGATTCCGCGCGCCACATCCTTCAATCCCGGCGCCCCGCACGCCTTCGCCGTCGTCACCGCGAACCCACACCCCCCCAGATCCCACACACTACGCGCGCACGACATCGTTGCCGCGCACCACGCCCCACCGGTCGCTCCACCGACGCAGTTCCGACACGTCTCCGCGCGCGCGCGCGCGCCCGCATCCATCCGCG